AAAAAAAAAAAGAAAAAAAAAAAACAAGAAAACAGACCCCGAAGTGGGTCGTTTATGCTAAGCCCTTAGCACTAAACCAGGATTTAGTTTAGTTATAGTTTGGGTTCTCCCAGAAATGGAATCTTAAAATAGTCATCAGGAATCTGCTGATCAGCACGACTGATCTGCCTGCCATCCTCTAAAGGAAAGTAGCCTGGTGATAACCAACCTGATTTTTTGCCTAGTGCAACCTCCTCATTCCTGCTTACTCCTGGCTATAACAGTCTTTCATTTTTTACAGTTCCTCTGGGTTCCTTTCGACTGGATGCTACTCAATTCATGAATCATTGAATAAAACCAATAAGATGTTTAAAATTTATTCAGCTGAATTTTATTTTCTAATAACTGTCACGCCTGTAGGATATTCATAAGGGACACATCTAGAATAAACTAATCCCAGCATGTTGAAGATTTGTTGATGGATAAAGATAACCAAAAGAACTAGTAATTGAAGAAAGCAGGATAGAAAATATTAATATCAGATAGTAGAATTTAGGCAAAGAGCATTAAGTGTGATGAAGAAGAATTCTTTCCGTGGAAAATTTATTCTAATATACCAAGAAAATACAAATACAATGTCACTGATGGACACCCAAGTAGAATATTATGGAAATAATGAAGAATAGAATTGAGAAATCTCTTTCATAAATTGGCACATCAAGTAGAGGGGAAAATCAAGGAACTAGATGAGGTAAATAAAATAAGCCCATTTTGTTTCCAAAAGACATAAAAATGAGGATGTTACTCTACTCTATGAGGGAAGAGGTCAAGGAGAGAGAGAGAGAAGCCCAGGACTGTGGGGTTGGAGAGAATGACCAGGAGGTGCCATATGGCACCCCTTTGGGTTGAGGGATAGGAAACATGGCCCTTCTGCTGACTGTGGGTCCTTTGTACTCCCTGTTATTGTCCTTGGTAAATGGCACTACCATCTACTGTCCCCATGTCTCCTGTGGAGTGTGCTCCTGATTTCCTGTCAGGGTCTGAAAGTGGCATGTTCCCAGCGGCTCCCAGTATCACTCCCCATCACCTCCTAGCTCAGCCAGTGCCAGTATGTGATTGTTGTCACGACTCCAACCCTTCCCCTTGAATATTCAAAGGGCCATCAAGGGCACTTGTGCATAACCAGGACCATTTCTGTTGTTATTTAGTGCATTTTCCTCACTTTCAAAATTAGATAATTAGATGTTGATTTCCATAGATCAAAGGGAAATAACAAAAGTCCTCTCTTGCCCTGTTCTCCAACCTTCCGAGGGACCCGAAGGACGTGCTGGGGCTGGGTCACCTCACTGCCATCAACTTCATTCAGGGCCAGTGAGAGGGGCCCTACAGCCTTCCCCAAGGAATCAGACCTCTCCTGTGGGCCCACCGGTATGGTTCATCAGGAAGGAGAGGACACTTTCAGTGCCTGGATGGCCCCTCTGCAGACCTGGTGACATTATTGGCGGTGGGGACTGGACTTCCCCCTCCCTTTTGTACTTCCACTCCTGCCCAGAGCCATTTTATTCTCTCACAAGAAGCCATCTTCACTCCACACCAAGACACAAGAAGTGTTCCCACCCTGGGGTCAGTACCCCTTTGGCAGGGACTTTTCGCCCACCATTGTCTTTACTCTTTTTTTTTTTTATGTTTTATTTATTTCTGGGAGAGAGAGACAGCATGAACAGGGGAGGGTCAGAGAGAGAGGGAGATACAGAATCTAAAACAAGCTCCAGGCTCTGAGCTAGCTGTCAGCACAGAGCCCAACGTGGGGCTTGAACCCACAAACTGTGAGATCATGAACTGAGCTGAAGTTGGATGCCCAACCGACTGAGCCATCCAGGTGCCCCCCATTGTCTTTACTCTTGACTAGGACTATTCCCCAGTGACCGACAGCCTCCCAGATCCCTGGCTGCATCCCTGGGGGCCCACCCTGGGCCATAGAAGGATGGGATTCTACGATCCATAGGGAATGGAAAACAGAGGCAACTGGGAACCAGGGCATGAACAGAGGAGCTATGTGGTCTAGGTTGCTACCCTTGGCTGTAGAAACAGTCTTGGATGGTAGGAGGTAGAGGGTGGGTGGAGGCCGGCCTGTCCCCACAAATGTTTTACCATCTCTGCAGTCAGGCAGTGCCTGGTTACTTGGTGACTAGTGCTAGCCAATAGCCTTTTTTCTCAGACATAAGCATATTTGAGCACAAGGAAAATGAGTTTTCTAGGTCTTAGCTGAGCCATAGGAGCCTCACTGGCCATGGGAAATGAGATCAAAAAACGGTTGGCTTTGTGGTCACCTCCTGGATACTAACATCTCTGAGCCCCAGGCTGCTGACACCCTCAGTGGCAGGGGTACATCAGGGAGCTGGCTCAGAAGACAGGAATTCATGTCCCAAGTTGGCCATTTTAAGTCCTTCAACATAAGTTGGTCTCAATTGGCTCACCTTGAACTTGGGAGAATGGCATGCCTGTCTATCTCCGCAAGGTGGTTGGCAACCAGGAGAGGGAGTGGGAATGCAGGTACTGGATCAGATTTAGTGCACTTCACTTGGAGACAGGGCTAAATGCCCCATGTATAGCTATGGGTCTGTTAAGACACTTACATTTGTGAATCACTAGTGGACTCAGGCCAGGGCAGTGGCCTTGGGGACAGGTGATAAAAGAAGGAAGATCTGAGTTCTTGCCTGTGTTGTCTCCTCCCACTTGCTCACTGTAGGCTTTGTCCCCCCAGAGAGCTGAAAAATGTTAGTTCTATGTCTCCTTTATTCCTGAGCTGACATAGAACTTGATTGTAGCAACTTTGAACTAGGCCAGGGACAAAACATAGACTGCAATGCTCCCGGCCAAAGAACAGGGATTCCTTGGATTGGCAATAGGGACGCTTAAGTTTGGGAGCTTCCCAGCTTTTATTTAGACACAAAGGCACATCTGTAGCATGCACCTTCTCATTCATGTGAATGGGAAGATGAATTTGTGAGCCATTCTTAGAAAAAGAATTGTTAGAGGGTAATGACCTCATTCCCTGCCCCACACAGCCTACCCTTTTGGACACTGTAGTGATGGCCTCTCAGAGCTTTCTGACACAGTGGTCTTACCCCAAGGTATGCACACATGTGCAGGTGCCCAGCTTGCTCTGCCCTGTTCTGCTGGGAACTCATGACCTATACCTGACTCCTCAGTGTGTATGCAAAAGAAGACCCTTCTGCATTCACTCACTCAGCCTTTCCTTTCCACTGGGAAAATAGTAGGAATGCGGGGCTTTTCTCATTGCCAAGATAGGGAGCTTGACCTATGATGGAACTAACTTCAACTTGCTTCGTGTTACAGCAAATTTCACTGATAATAGAAGGCCCTGGGACAGGCTACAGGTCAGAGAATTGTTTTAAAGTTCCAGGAATCACTCTTCCTGACAAAAGGAGATTTGATTTGAAATGAGGGTGATTTCTGCAGAATCCGTCCCAATTCAGGCACCCTGGTAACAAGACTTAAAGAATATAAGAATATCTATAAGAATAATCACCAAGTCAGACTATCATACCTGGAATTATAAGTCATAGCTGGAATTATAAGTCAGCTGCTCCAAAGGGACAGCTGAGTGCCAGGAAGGATAGGCAACTTTTCCAAAATGAGATGAGAGCCTAGATGTCTTGACTCCAGGGTTGGTGTTTTATGTGTTTTGCTGGATTGGCACCATACCTGGCTATTACTAGCGCAGCAGCTCATCATCTGTCTTGGCAAATGGCCAGTAAATAATGGACAAGCTGAAAGAATGGATGATGGGATCACTTTACTTCCCAGGTTCATTTTCTTTTCAAGGTCATTAATCCAAATGTAATAGGGCTCCTTTGAGGCAGAACTTGAAGCCTTAGTTGCACAGACTGTCATGGGGGGGGTCTCTTCATGGGAAATGGCACCATCCATGCTCTTGGGAAGATCCTCAATTATGAAGGTGGAGAAGCCTCCAGGGAGGTCAAAGTGGAGGGAAAGAAACCTGGAGAGAGAGAGAGAGAGAGAGAGAACTTAATTCCATAACTTAATTTGATCCTATAGCCTAGGTGGCTCCAGAATTTCTTCAAAGAAAGCATACACCCATAGCAATCTGGGTGGAAGAGGAGTTGGAAGACTTGTCTAGATCTGCTTTCCTACAGTTTATATAGGAATGAGAAAGGTACATTTGTTCATATCAGGTGGAGGAGCTATTGATGGAGAGATGGGCACCAAGACCCTTGGCCTCTACCACAGCCCACCATGCTTCTTACTGGGACCAGTACCCCTCCTTAGGTACAACATTTGATACAGATTGGGACTATCCATTGAATGCCTCTCTTCTTCACCCAAACCGCATCTAGTATGTTGAAATTGCTCTGTACTGAAAAACCTAATGAAGATGGTGACTTCCATTTTGTAAACAGTTTGTTATTTCTCATTACACCAGATGCCTGATCTCTATAGCCAAAGATCTAGGATGGGGAAGTCTATCAAGACAGAAAACTTTAGATAATAATTCTTCTACTCCAGACAAGAGAAAACTATGACCCCATCCTCACATGTCAATAAAAGTTTAGTGGAGAGCCTAGATTTCCACCCTCATGGGGTTGTAATGAATGAGGCTCTCCACTCTCTGTGGTGTCAGTGGAGATGATGTGGGGAATCTGGATTTCTATCTGACAGTAAAGAGATAACTGCTCATGTCCTTTCTTTCTCTCTGGAATGGTGTCAGGAGAGGCTTAGTGATGAAAATTAGGACTTCCACCATCATCCAGTAGCAGTGAGGGCATCCTCATTACCAAATATGTGTCCATGGAGGCCAGGTGGGGAGTCAAACCTACTGCTTCCCAGAAGTAATGAGAAGTCCTTTCTCCACCTCAGTATCAGTGGGGGATGAGCGGGGAACTTGAATTACCTCCACCAGGCAGTAATCAGGCAGTGCCTCTGCTTCTCTTGCTGAATAGGTACTAGAGAGGTTAGCTAAAACAGGAAGTTCAAATACGATCCAGAGTCACATAATATGATATGAAAATGTCAGGTTTTAACAAACAAATTTGTGTTCATACCAAACAGGAAGATCTCAAACTGAATCAATAGAGGCCAGCATCCAGATGATAGAGGTGTTAGGTATATCTAACAAAGATCTTAAAGTAGCTATGATAAAAGTGGTTCAACAAACAATTATGAGCATAAATGAAACACTCCTAGGACAAAAAATAGAAAATCTCAGCAAAGAAATAGAGAACATCAGCAAAGATATAAGATGTAAAAGAGAACTAAGGTGAAAATTTTATAAATGAAAATATAATACCTGCAATTAA